TTTAATCGATTTTAATCGGATTCTTCTAGAAAAAATAGAAGTTTTGTTTGAAAAATCGGATTTGTCCGTCGCTAATCAAAAATAATCTGGATTTTCTTCGGAATATTTTTCACTGGGACCCACACCCACTCACCATCTCATCACGTGATTTCCAAACAGGTCCTTGTTCTCTCAAAAGATGCAAAAAATTAGCGTAAAATATGAAAAATTTTTGCAGAATCTTGTTTACGAATCTGTTTGTTGCAGAATATAAAGGAAAACAAAACAAAATAAATGTTTCCAACTCAGACTTGTCAAGCTCGTTTCTAGATGAACATCAATTTCTGCTATATGAGTCTCGTTTTTCATTAAAAATCCGTCTCTATTTTATTCGAATACAGTGTGATTGTAAACTATGATATATATATATATATTCTGACAATGCTCTCACATGTATCTAATATTAATATCATTTCATGACAATTTGCGAAAGTTTATCCTACTTTGGACAATGCGATCTGTCTATTCTACATGATCGTGGAGATTTTTGCAAGATATAAAGTTAAATAAATTAAAATTTCCCGGTAATAATGTCGATGTTATTATTATTGTTTATTCATTCATTTTTTTTTCAAAAAAGATTTTCCCATGAATATATTCTCAGTCGATAACGCGAGAAGAAGAAAACGAATCATTGTTGAGCTTTGTTGAATATGACAATATCAACCGATTGAACATAATGTTCAAATTCACAAATTTTTTCTTCTAGAAAATCAGTTCCAATCTAAACATACGAAGAAAAAAAGAGAATACTTAATAAATAATAAAGATAATTTACTTTATCATCTTCAACAACACAACCAATTTGTAATTTTTTAACACCATAAGCAACTGGTAAAATTTTAGCTATAAATAAATAAATATAAAAAATAAAATTCAAACAAATCTTATACTAACATTGTCCCCAAACAAGACCATCAGCTTCAATTGATCTTACTGATTTTTCCATAGCTTCAAGATCAGTTTCATCATCCCAAGGTTTAACATCTAATACAATTGTACTTTTGGCAAGAACTTGTTCCTCTTTTAAAAGCAAAAAATAAAAAAACTAAGAAAGAAAATTTTTCTTTTACTCTTTGCTTTTTTTGCTGCATATTCAGCTAAACGTTTTTTTGTTTCTTCACTTTGTTCTTCATCATCAGAACCAAATAAATCAATATCATCATCACCAGTACTAGCAACTGGACGCGGTTCAACTAGTTTCTAAAACAAATAAAATTTCTACTTTTCATATAACTACAGAAGAAACAAAGAAAAATGTTTTTCTCTAAGGGAGGAAAGAAAAACTATGATTTGGTTTTTTCTTTCTATATGTTGCCTAATCCCAATGGTCGTTTGTTTGTTTAATTGAAGTTGTTCAACACGTCATTTAAGATCATCAAGCATTTGTAAAATATTTTTATGTGTTGCTTCAATATTTGCTAGACGTTGTTCAGTAGTCGTATTCGTTCCAGTCGATGTTAGTTTTTGTCGTATCAGTTTTGTTAATTATTTTTCTGACATCGCGAATTTGTTCACTTAAACTTGCCTGCAAGATTGACGAGAGATTTATGACATTATATGTATATAATTACATAGATGTACCCCATGCGTTAAACAAGATATGTCCGAATAAACAGAAATCACAGATTCACACAATAGGAGAAAGAGGATATATATGGAAGGGTTAGTTAGTTAGCAACAAACTAACGAGGGAACGTTTTCAACTGTTCAATTCCTTTTGAGTTCGGACTTTGTGCAAAAGATAGACCTCAGTGAGGTATGAAAAACCCCCAAACTATAAGTGCCTTTAGGCCTTCTGCCCAAAGTTATAGGCATTTCACTGGAACGTTTGCCTATGGCATGGTATATACCAGTTAATCGAATGACACTATTTCAATCTGAGATTTTGTCCACAGATAGATCTATTTATGAGTAGAACACCCTGAAAATTTCAGCTGAAAACAACGTTTCCTTCCCGAGATATTTACGTCCCAAAAGACAGAAAATTCTAGCATCTTTTGAAATATATGAGTCATTTTTGGGAATTAAATATCTCGGGAAGAAAAAGTTGTTTTCAGCTGAAATTTTCAGGGTGTTCTACTCATAAATAGGTCTGCCTGTGGGCAAAGTCTCAGATTGAAATAGCGTCATTCGATTAATGGGTATATGCCATGCCATAGGCAAAAATTCCAGTAAAATGCCGATAACTTTGGACAGAAGGCCTAAAGGCACTTATAGTTTGGGAGGTTTTCATATCTCACTGGGTTCTATCTTTTGCACAAAGTCCGAACTCAAAAGGAATTGGACAATTGAAAACGTTCCCTCGTAAGTGTTATGGTGCTTTTTTGGTATTCGAGGAAGAAAACCTGACCTTTTCTTGTTGTTTTGATTGTGGTTCAAGTTTTTCTTGTTTGACTTGTTGAACAGATGATGTTGTATTACTTGGTTTTTCACTCTATATAAATTAAATAATTTAATAGAAGTTAAAGAATTATTATAAAAAATTACAAAAACTTGATAATGTGTTCTTTCAGCAAGTTCAACTTCGTATTTAGGAAACCAAATATTAACATGAATTAAATGTTCAAGCATGATTTGATGGTTTTTTTCTTGTTGTTTAAAGAAGATAAAGAAAAAGTTTTTAATTTCTGACAATTCGCAAGCATAATATATATGCATGTTTGCAACATGTTGAAATTTATGATGCAATATTTCAAAAGTAATTACGCAAGAAACGATGTTTATTATGAAAGTTAAGCTAACTGTATTTCAAGTTCTTTAACACGTTCTCGGCTTCGTTGTAATTCTGGATTATTTTTTACTTCATATAATTTATTTCATATTGTTTCTGTTCTCATTGAAGCTAAATTAAAATCTAACCAAGCAGCATAACATGAATCTTCATGAGGTAAACCAGATGACATGCGTTCTAAATTCGCTACACTTGTATGTAATAATTCTTGAACTGTTTGAGCATTTTCTGAAAAATTTCGAGCCACTCATTAAATTTGTTTGCGACGAACTTGTTCAGAACTTAATTGTTGAACAATTTTTAACGGCATGCCAAAGCAGTTTTATTAATTTATCTTCAACTTGACATAATTGATCGAGAGCGTGATATGTTGTATTTGTAAAATCCGTCATGTTCGAAACAACAAAAAATAGGGTGCGTGTGGGTGTGCGTGTGTGGATGTGCCTGTTGGTGACGGTGCTGGCGAAGGAAAGACCCACACCCATAAACAACCAGATCCAGATAGGGATGGGCGAATCAAGCTATTTCTGAAGTCATTTATTAGTGGTATCGAGTCAAGTCAAGTCAAGTCACCACTATTTCCGAGTCGGGTCGAATCGAGTCAAGCTATTTGTGCCATTTTCCCGCTCTTTGGTTGTGTTTATAAAGTAAGTCAACAACAAACTTTTCATCACACAAGATCTAGTTTCTAGTTCGTACGCGCATAAGGCAAAATAGGTTGTACATAAAATAAAATAACACAAATTATCTAGAATAATCAACAAAATAAGAACAGTGAAATCAACTGTTCAATTTTACCCAGCTGCTCACCAAAGTAAAAAAAAAAGTACAATACTTTTGTAAGCAAAAACCTAACCTTAAACCTGCTTATAAGCAAAAATTTTCGATTACCATGTATGGAAATTAAATGCCTTATAGCTCTCAAAAGATGCTAGAGTAGAAATGTTAGCGTTTGCAATACGTAAAGAATGTGATCTCATTGAAACACAACTTCGAAAAAATACACATTCCTCTGATACTGATATGTCCGTAACACCCAATTGTTTTAGCATGTTTGCCAATATATAGATATTAATTTTCTTTTAAATAAGATGGTAGATGCGGATAAGGAGAAGATTGCACACCCATATAGTTTGTTGGGAAATAGGAAATGCCAAATGAATGATGGAACGTTTTTGTGATCCCAATACTGTCACACGACAATTATATCACAGCGTAATAACGAATATGACGTGTGACACAATGCGAAGTTTTCCTTTATTCTATTACATACACTTATAAATCCTTCAAAGATGATTCGAGATCAAAATACGACAAAAAAAAGAACACAGTCGACATTACGCATAGGCCATCATTTTCGGTCACATGAATACATAGGTCGAAAAGATGTTGATGTAGGGTGTGGCTATGGCCGTGGCTGTAGGTGAAAATAAGAATAAACCCACAACCGCACCCACACCCACATCCTCGAAAGATGATTTCACACTATCACTTATCCCCATTTATTATAGAAAAATCACATATCTATATAGTGATGAATAATTGATTACATTGAAATTATCCATGCAAGATATAAGTGAAAATTCCCAGTGAGCACTAACAGAGGATAATATAGGAAAACACCTAGTTAGAGAACAGAAAGAGAAATGACGAAAGCGTGTGAAAGAAGAAATGACATGTCAGAAACCAGAGAAAAGACGACACCCGCACACAATGTATGGAAAGCAAAAAGAGATGATATCCCCACTTAACAGTAGCAAGAAAGTATAATACTTGAGATTTCTTTATGAAAAATCGTATGCGGATAACAGAATAGATATATACTAGATAGGACAACATATCGTTTATCTTTCTTTGAATCTTATTCATTTCAAACGATCAAAATTCTACCAGAATTTTTTTGAATGAATCGATCATGAAAATTGATATGAACCAAAATTCGAATATCCCAATGCTAGAGAGAAGCTAGAAGTGTTTCTAAGACTGAAAGATCAGTAATATTTCATTCTTGTTTTCATGGTCATGACTTGACGTGAGAAACTAAATTCTTTCTATACATCAAATTCATTTAGAGACTCTTCAAAAATTCGTTTTTTTTTTTAAGTGACATTTCATAGAAACTTATTTAGATCAGACATATTTTCTATTTATTTGACAAATCTAGGTACATTCGAAGAAAATTTTAGAAAGATGTTGTTATCGTTAGACATATTCTTCACATTTGCTGCGTTGGCCTTTTTGGGCTTCCTCCTCATGCCAAAACAATTGCAATTTTTTTCCTATCAATCGATTTTAAGATTAATGCATAATCGGATAGACTAAGAAGTCTATTTTCGAATATACAATGATTTGCTGGGATTGTCTTGTATTGTAAGACTTTTTAAAAGGATTTTTTTCTATAATAAATAAATTACTTCCGATGGTAATAGAAAAATTTGAGTATGATGTTTGCAGTGAACATTTTCGAATCTATCTTGACGTAAAAAAAATGAAATAAATTCTGCTCGATATGATATTCGTCATCAACAATGGTGAAAAAAGCATCAAAATCAAAGAATCAAATTGCAGATGACAGCATGAATATTTTATTTTGATCATATTTCAGACTTGTTTCCACATGAAAATATTACATAAATATATTCTTGTTGGCAGGGCATATCTTTTTTTTTATTTTGTTAAACATGTTTTAATTTCAATTCTAGTTTATCACAATAAGAAACCAGACTACGGAAAAGTATCTCTCTGTTTATCTCCTGAATGTAGTCAAGTATGAGCAATAAAATGTCTGTAGAGTACCACAATGCATTAATTGGCTTTCATTTCTATACAGTACAGGGTGGGAAATAATATTATTCAAGGGAGGTACCGCTATAATTTCAAATAGAAGATATGATGAATTTTATACCAAATGAACGCCTGTGAAAAATGGG